GCAAATTTGTAATCAAATGTGTAGCTTAACCCAACATGACTCTAATTTTAATGCCTATTGATATTTCTATAAATTCGTATAGCATTATAAAAGATTCATTTGCCTTAACTCATGCAAAATTATGCCTTTTGGATCAAACATCCATTCTAAGACATAGTTAAAGACAATAAAAATCTTTCTTTACAAAAGAGTTCATTTTTTTATTTTCAACTTTAGTTTTTAATTGACACATACTAACACTTTTTCATGAGACATAGTGTGATGTTTTAATTTGTGTATACTCTAGGTATATAAGTAGGATAATTAGTATACTGGTTATTTTAAAATTTATCATTTATTTATGGTCAGAACATTAAAATTCTTCTCTTCTGTTTTGAGATGTGAAGAACATAATTGTTAACTACATTCACCCTATAGTGCCATACACACCAGAACTTACTTTTCCCATTTAACCCTAAGGTTTTACCTGTTGACCTACCTCCCCACCTCCCTTTCCCAGACCCTCTCCAGTCACTGTTAACTATTCTATTTTCAACTTCGATGAGATCAATCAAAAAAGCTTATTTTCACACTGTGTCATAATAAATATTAGAAGTAACTTCAAATCATGAATTGGAGGATATGTCAAGAACATGAGGTGAGCTCCCTGAATATATTATGAGTATGAATGCCATAAGAGATCGAAAGATGCATACAATGTGCAATACAGAATGCAAAGTCATATGTACACTGTAATTACAACCATGTAAAACATGCAAACATTAGTAGGAGAACCAAAATAATTTATGGGAGAATAGAAACCGTTGATGTAAAGGTTGGTACACTCTCTGTGAATGTTTAAAAGATTTATTTATGGTTCCTGAGATGTTTGCACAATGTATAAGACAACATCAGGTTAGATTCCCAAGTGTCTGGAAAAGGGTAGGTGTGGACTTCCATGACTTCTGACTCTTTCATCTGAAATCTGCTGAGCCTTTGCTAAGTGAAGGGTGAAATCTTCTATTGCCCTTGATGAGAACTGAGTGAATTACACTGGGAGTAGGCAGACCGGCAGGCCCTTCCCTCAAGATGATGACTAACTGGCAAAACCTCCTGCCTGGGTGTGACCCAGGGCTGACCCTTGATGACTGTGGATGGGTTAAATACACATTGCTCACTTTTCCCTCCATTTCTATGCTGGATCCTAGGAAGGATCCCTAGGTTCATTTGACAAAAACATCAGAACTGAAGAGGCCAGAGAGGATAGTTCAGTTCTTTCATCCAATGTATAAATCCTTTTCAAGGGTGGTGAGAATGATCACCCTTGCCTTGGCTTGTGCAAATGTCCTGCTGCCACTGAGCACAGCCTCTGTTCTTGCCAAGCAACAGACTTATTTGACAACAGATCAAGTTTTCAGGGAATGCATCCTAACAACACTCTCCTAGAACACAATTAGAAAAGTCTGAATTACAAATAATCCTGAATTATAAATAATCATCCAAAGACCTGTGAAAAACTTGGGATGTGGAAGAGGTATTATATTTAAATTTTAAGATACCAAGGGGATTTGAATGAGAAAAGAAAGGTTAAAATTAAAGTGAAATAGAACACTATCTAAAAACATGAGTTTGTTCTAGAAGTCAGACTTCCTATCACTATCTAACATGGATTTGATGATCAATTGCTGTATTATGAGAATTTACGTTTTATGCTGGAGGTTAGAAGAATTTGGAGAATTTGTGATTTTCAGACCTGACTAAGCATAACAGAAAGAAAGGAAAAGGAAGGAAGTCAGAAAAGAATAAAGGAAGGAGAGAGGGACAAGAAAAGTATCTGGGATCCATCTAAGAACTACTGAATAGGAATATCTGGGTTTCATGTCCAGAAACTTAATAAGATACCTAGGTGATTCTTATATATACAGTTTAAGAAACTAAGAAGTGAAATCCAATTATCCAGATTGTTTCTTACTGATAATTGCCATCATATAAATTTGTTTCCATAGCAGAAACAAACACTATGGCAAATTGGGTAACTATGGATGTCTTCTGGGAATGAGAAGATAAGAACCAGGTCTCTGAGATTTCCAGTCTGGAGATAATGGGATTAGTCTATGCTGAATTTCTCACCTCATTCTCACAGATGGTGGGGAGAGCTGAGACCTTGGGGAGAAGGAGTAGTAGTAGGAGGAGGAGGAGGAGGAGTAGGAGGAGAAAGAGAAGGAGGAGGAGGAGGAGGAGGAGGAGGAGGAGGAGGAGGAGGAGGAGGCGGCGGCAGCGGCTGCAGCGGCCTGGGAGGGCATTTTAGGAACAGCACTCTCTACTTATGAACATGTACTTTCCTGCATCTGCTGTGCCAACTTCAGGTTTTGCTTTCTTGAATTTGTGGCTACTGTTTCATGAAATTTACTGAGGCCAACTCATACAGAGAAGCTGCAGGATTTCTTGCATGGTTGTTGGAAGTGGCTTCTTGGATTACAGCTATTTATTTAATCCCTCCTCTGCCAACCAGGCTGCTATTTGTTACTGATTTGGGAGGTGATTAGAAACCTAGATGGTGGTTAGAAACCCTCCCAGAAATTCAAGGCTCCTTTCTAGAATTACTACTTCCCGGATATGTCCACATTCTGGACAACAGGAAGGTTAAATGGGAGACCCATCCATTCATTTATTTCTCTAGAGCTAACTATGTGCCACTCACAGCAGGAGGTTCTGAGCAGAACAATACATAATTTGTAAAAATAAGAGTCTGGAGTTTACATTCTGGCAAATTTTTTATACTTGCTGTCGGAACAAGAATTGATTAGCACCTCTTGGTAATCATCATCATCATTATCATCATCATCAATCATTATGGTCATAGTTCATCATTACCATAACAGTGTCTAACATTTATGAACATGGTATCTATGTGTTAAAAGCTTTTTTTAATGCAATATTGCCAAGAAGTACTATTATCATGCCAATTTTTCGGTTGAGAAAATGGAGACACATAGATGAGGTCATTAGACCAAGTTATAGGGCCTCCATTCATGGTGGAGGTGAGCATAGGAAAGCAGACATGTGGTGTTTATTTAATTAGCTTGGATCTTGCTTATCGTCTATCTCTTGGAATAGGGTGGTAGCTGGGCTAAGCTCCATTAATACCATAGCAATATAGTCTAGTCTCTGACATCAAATGAGGGTCACTCTAAGGAGTGGGGATTAAATCTGGGCTCTGTATAAGAGATGTTGATAGTAGCTATCTTTAGAATCTCAGGAATTAAATAGGCTTGGGGAGCCAGGAAGAGTTTGGAGCACTTGGAGATGACTGTCACTGAGTTTTCTTTTGGGTGGACCTGAGGGTGAGGCTCTTCCTACCAAACTCTGACACTTCAAGAAGTGAACAAGATACCTGAATCTGATTTCCTGGATCCAGAAGTGTCAGTCAGACCTAACCCTGGTGGGTCAAAGTGACTGGTCAAACCTGAAGAGCAGGTCCCTGGACAAGCAGCTAAGATTTGGTAAAGTTTTGTTCTTGCAATACTGAGGAAGCCTCAAGGGTGTGATTTATTTTAAGGAGACTTAGGTTAAAATTAAAGAGCTGAGGTTCCTTCAGTTTGAAAACTGAACCTTTTCATGAGGACATTACATATAATATAAATCCATGTTCTCATTTTAAAAGAGGATTCTGTGTTCTTTAATTAATGTTTTAATTGTTCCTTCAAAGAAGATTTGCCATCTCTTTATTTAAGGATAAGGTATTTCTCTTCACAGAGCCAAGAATATCATTGTGTGTCTTTGGAAATGCATTTAAGTATTTACTGAGTACTTTCAAAAAGCAAAGTTGAAATTACAATCATAATAATATATGATCTTAGATTATTTTTAACCCTTAACATATTCAATAATATTCTAGAACATTTTCCTACATTAGTCAAGTGTTTGTTATTCATACTATTTTAGAAGGCTGATGTATTTTGTCATAGAGATAGACTGATTCAATAATTTCTCTACTATTGCTTTTATTTTTTCACTCTTTTGCTTCACTAGTTACATCTATAGCAGTGAAAAAAAATTAGCAATAATTGGAATGATACTTTTTAAAATACATTTTTTTCACAAAAATTTATTTACAGTTATGCCATGTCAAATACTGATGCTTTAAATTTTCTTACTGTATAGCATCTAGGCGATTTTTCAGAGGGGTTGTATCACTCTATTAGTGATCTTGGGAGAGCTACTCAAACTTTTTGCACATCATGTATGTCATCTCTAACGTAAGAATCATAATAGTACCTACTTCATGCAGTTAATACATGGAAATATTTAGATTAGTGGATAAAAGTACTTAAAACACATATCACCATTACTATAATTATATACATTTGCAATTTTTATTATAATGCTAAGGATGCTAATTTTTGGTGGCAAATTTGATAGTTTTTCCTTTTATTATATATTTGAGAATACTAGTTTTGTTGTGGTATAAACTAATAAATACAATCAATGAGTGTAACTGATAGATTATGGATTAATAAAAATAGATTATAGATATAAGATTTCGATAAGTGAGATAAGACAATTATAAAGCAAGAACTGTCATAGACAGGCCTGAAATTCCATTTTGCTGCCTTCTATAAAATAACTGTTACAAGATTTCTTTCTGAGAAACTGAAATGAAAGCTGTTTTTCTTATTTAAAAAAAATTGCTTTTCTGTATTTTGTATCCCACAGAATGTACCCAACTCAGGCTATGGTGGTGGTCATGGTGAGCTACACCCTGGGTTTGAGTACAATTATGGTTCTACAGGACTTTGAAGTAGATTTTCACCCCCGCTGGGCTGGCCACTGCTGAAATTCAGGGTACAGTTGTCTAACACCTGCTCAAATCCAGGATGCAATGCAGTTAACTGAGTTGCAAAGCTGACTGCTTTTTTTAGCTTCTGTATCTTGCTTGCTTGCTGACTGGAAAATTCCAGTCCTGCTTAGAGCCCACAGGTCCCACTAATTACTTATTTAACTTCTGTGATTGGTTTGCTTACATGACGCCAAGAAAGCCACTAAATTGTAGTTTTTGTTCTTAAATTCTCAAGACACTGATCAGAAAGTTGCTGTTCTCCCACAGAGCTTCAGTCTCTATGGGTGGGTGACAGTCCCTGGCCAGGTAAATAAAGCTCTCTTTGATTTGAATTTGGACTTAGAGTGCTTTCTGAAGCGGCTCCCCATAACAGTTTATAACAGAAGGGGCCTTCCATTTTCTTTGCATTTTGTTTTTTAATTCTAGTAAAGTCTGATGTTTTATTTTGTATCTAACAACTTGTGCTTCTTTTGCAGGGATTTTATTAACTTTTTAATTGAATGAATTCTCATTGTTTTTCTTAACAATTTTATGAACTGTTTTTGATGTGATGCTTTGTTGTCTCATGTTGCAGATACTTTCCTGATTTGTAGGATCCCATGATTTTGTTCCAGTTGTTTTTCATTTGACAGAGAGGACTGAGAAGGCTGTAAGGGTAAAAAGTCACACTTGCGCTGCTTGCTGAGTGGAGGTGAATAGACTTTGAAACCTGCAGGGGCAGGGGCAGTGACGGCAGTTAGAGAGAAAAATTCCTCACTAGGGATCAGATGGCCATGATTTTACTCCAAGTTCTGTCCCTAGAACAGGACAGTTAGCATTGCGTACCCTTCAAAATAGAATGATTTAGTAACCATTACGTTTCTGTACAAACAAAACAAACTCCATATAAGTTTGAATTTTTATTTTAAAAGTTTTCATTTATAGATAGGTAAGAAGGGAACCAGCTTTGTTTCAGAGCCTGCTGTGCTTGCTTTCAGTGGGCTTCTTCATCTCCTGGTCCAGGTAGCTCATTTTTTGGACCTAAGCTCAATTGACCTTTGTCTGGAAACTCCCACCTTCTCACAAACACTGCTCATCAATCAGGTTGAATCTTAGTTTACTTTCTTATAGCCCATGGTGCTTAGGAGTCGTAGTACTCAACACAGCTACAATTTCTCATTTGTGTATATGATTACTTGATAAATGTCAGTCTCTCCCACCAGACTGCAAACTCTGTTGTTTTCCATTATGTTCCATATGCCAACTGTGTCCAAGTAAATCCTCAGTTCATTTCACTGGAATGACAGTGGTAGGGTTGTATGTGCATAAAAGTATTTAAAAGGGCAAAACAATGTAAACAAAAGAAGCAGGAATGAATAATGCTGGGGTACTGGTGAGGAGACAAGTATGCCTGGACTAGGAGTAGTACATAAAGGAAAGCCAGGGGAGATGTCCCTGAAAAGGAAGATTTGTTTGATCACAGAGAGCCTTGGATACTAGGTGGAAGACTTTTAGCGAATGAGATATGCAGTAAGGAACCATTGAAGAGTTCTGAGCAGGAGTGTCATAGAAAGGAAGTTTGCTAAGAAGATGCATGTGGTAGTAGAATGGATTGAAAGAGAAAGGCTAGAGGCAGGGAGTCCAATTAAGTCTATTGTAATATATTTTTTTAAAGCTATTGAGTGTTACTTCAGTGTGCTGCCACTAGAAATGGGGAAAAGGGAGCAAATGTGGTAAATGCAAACATTATTTGCAGAAAAGAATTTCCACATTACTTACTCTCATTATATGTTGGAGAGATAAGGAACAAGAGAGAGAAAGAATAAATGACAGAGTATTAATTCTGAAAGAGAGATACTACATCATACCATGTGATGTCCTTTACAGTATGGAGATTGAGGCTCAGAAGAGAAATAGAACTGCAAATACTGAACAGCATGTGACCTATGAGTGGCAGACAGAGATCCTGAAGACAGTTTACATGAATCTTACTGATTGTCCTTTTTTATACAATGTCATCACCAGATGTAGATAAACTAGAGGCAGATTTTGAGTTCTTTTAAAATCGTTAAGCTAAGAATGATTGATAAAATGAAAGTGTGAAGTAGTTCAATGTGTGGTGGCATTCTGGTAGGGAGGTAAGAGATGAGGTTACATATTTTCAACTCCGGGACCCAGAGATAGTAACTTCAGATCAGCTGAAATTTTTCATTTTGAATTCAATTCTTGTCCTTTAAATTTTTCCTTCCTTCCAACCTTCATTCATTCATTTGTTCCTTCTTTTCTGGTACTGGGGATTGATCCCAAGCCCACGCATTTGCTAAGCAAGTGCACTAACACTGAGCTACATGCCAAGCCCTTCTTTCATTTTTTTTTTTTTTTAATTTTGAGAAAGGGTCTAACTAAATTGCTGAGGCAGGCCTTGAGCTTGCAATCTTCTTGCTTCAGCCTCCTGAGTAACTGGGATTATAAGCAAGTGCCATCACACCCAGCTAAACTTCCTATTTTGAAAAAAAAAGTAATATTTATAGCTACTGACCACTTATGGCATGATAAATGTTTAAGCAGAATCTTATTTCATTATTTCATGAACACTATCACCCTTATTGCTCCATTTTACAGAAGATGAAGCAGGATCAGAAGTGAAATAACTTCTTCAAAGTCTATTAAATTGCTTATAATTTTTAAGAAGATATCTCAATCTTGGCACTATTCACAGTTCTGGCCAAATAATTCCTTCCTGGGGTAGGTTGGAGGACTGCTTTCCTGTGCATAGTAGGGTGTTTATCAGCATTGCTGGCATCTATGCAGTAGGTGCCAATAGGACTCATCCCTCTCAGCTGTGGCAACCAAACAGGTCCTTAAACATTGCAAAATGGCTGGGCATGGTGGCAGATACATGTAATCCCAGTTGCTTGGGAGGCTGAGGTAGGAGGATTGTGTTTGAGTCCAGCATGGGAAACTTAGTGAGACCCCCATCTCGAAATAAAACAAAAATATCGCAAGATGTTCCTCACTTGAGTTCGCATAGTTTCTTCTGTTAAAAATCTTCCCCAGGAATTTCAAATTTAGTTGATATATTCTTCCCCTGGATTTTTGTACCACTTAGTGCTCAATATTAAATTATTTTTGGTTTGGTTTTGTATATATCTTGTTTTCCTAAGAAGTTTATGTGTTTGAAGACCAAGTCTTTTATGTTTGATAAAATGTTGGTAGCCGGCATCTTTCACCTCTGTCCTTGCTTCTTCATCCCTACGGTCATTTTGTTCACCTCAGCTCTAGTGCAGACCTGCATAATTTTTACCTATTCTGTTGAAACAACTTAGCAGGTCTCCCTCCTTAGATTCTCTTCCCCTTATCCATTTAAATGATAAATTCTGTACTTGGAGACTCTCTCTAAAACATAGGCTTGCTAATGCATATCTTTCCTACTTAAATCCTTACTCAGAAACATATCCATAGCTTAATATTAAGGGTATTTCACAGTCTACTATCAGTATTCTTCTCAAAAGTGACTTTTAATCATGTTTCTCTGGATAATGTTAGCTGTAGTAACAAAAAGATATTTGGTCCACATACCCTCTGGATTTCTGCCTTCTTTTTGTATATTCTTGTATTTCTCACCATAAATTGTATTTGGTAGTTACCTTCAAGTAGTATTTCAGTATTCAGGAAAATTCAGGAAAACTGTATGATACAGGGCTTGATATATAGTAAAATAGTAAGTACTGAATAAATATTACTGCTATTTTAACTATAATCATTTTAATTATCATCAACTTTCTTCTGAATAAGCAGGCTAGTTCAATTTGTTTTATGCATTGCTTGGAAAGGATAGCTGAGGGATATTTTTGGTCAAAGTCAACATGGAAAGTGTCAGAAATTTAAAGTTACTTTCTACAGAACCAATGCAGAAATGATATAGGGCAATAATCTAATCCCTCAGAAGAGAGCATCCTTTGGAAGGATTTTGCAATAAAAGTTTGGGGATTTACTGGATAATGAGGCCAGCTCTTCTGAGAGTACACACTGGTGCCAATTGGAAGGTTCCCATGCACAGAGAAGTTAAGGTAGCTGAGTAACATGACTTCAGAGAATAGTGGGTGGAAAGTGAACGTAGATTGGAATGAAAAAGACTGCATTGGTGCATGGTTCAGGGATGTTGAAATAAACTTTCAGTCTTTCAGTTTGAATTAGACAATTCCACTTGGCAGCCAGAATCTGTTTCTGCACAAAGCCCAGTTGTCGTGCCATATGCTGTGAATATGTGGTAGAAGTCTCTGCTAGGAGCCCAGTATACGGATCCATTTCAGGCTTGTATCATCACCAAGGCTAATGCTCCCAGCAAGCCAAGGTAGAGCAGGAAGGGTGGGGATTTTGAGACTTGATGAACCTGTGAAGAGCAGAGCAGCCACGGTAGGTGGATCCCACTGAGTAGATTAAAAGAGGGCTATGGAACATGTAGGGAACTCTGGCCACATAGAATATGAGGACTGTAGTCAGTTTATGGGTAACATCAAAAAATAGGGTTAGTATAATGGATTGAGATTTGGGGGCAAGCTCCTGAATGACAGTAATTATCATATTAATGGGTAATATACATTGAGTGGTTTATACACATCAGTCATTGTGCTAAGAGCTATCTATGCACTGTGTATTAACATAGTTACTCTGTGAAGAAGGTGCTATTTTAAGATGAGGAAATCAAGATGCACAGACTTTAAATAACTGGCCCATCATCACATAAGCAATAAATAGCAGTGTGGCTTGAATCGTTGTAGCACCTCTACTTTTAACTACTAAAATCATTGGATTTCAGAAGTTAAAAAAAAAAAAAGCTGAGAGGTCAGTACTGATTCCAGAGAAGCACTAACTAAAGTGCAAAGCTCAAGTCAAAGGCAGAGCTGGAGGGCAAGGTTCAGACTCTCTTGATAATATGCTCCACTAGGAAGGAGGCCAAGGTTGGAGAAGTGGGAGGCCTCACTTAAACACCTGTCCTTATTTGTTTCTTGATCAAGACCAAATTGGAACTTCCTATGTGGCCAAGACATACAGACCAATGGGCTGCACATGCTGAGAGCTCAACAGTGCAACCACTTTGTGGTCGCATATGAGACAGAGGGAAGATGAGGCACGGGTCCTTTTTTTTCTCTTTTCTTGCTTGATCAGATTACTCATGACCCTATTTTACTAGTAAACGAGTTAACTACAAACTCTGTTGTATCATTATTTCTCAACTGAAGAGAATTCCATTGCTCTTTGCAGGTTGATCTCAGTTAAATAAGGAAAATGAACATTGATTGAAAACATAATATAATTTGTGTGAT